AGCCGATGACGGACGACTCACTCACTCACCCAGGTACTCACACACTGACAGGAAGGCCCACTCACACACATCCATGGAGATGTATACATATACACATATGTACACAAGGTCGATCGACTCATCTGCTGCCTCTTCTGGGTCTCCTGTGTGCCTGCAGGCGCCTCTCTGTGCACCTGAGCGCCTCGCGGACCCCTTCTCTCTCTCTCTCTCCCCTTCCTCCACCCACCACCCCTCCAGCCTGTAGAGGACCCGTTCCGCTGCAGCTGACCAGCCCTCTGCCGACTGGCGACACGGCCCGGTCCGGCTGCGTGGCAGGGTCGATGCTGCTCATCCGTCGTCCGAGGCCCTCAATTTGATACCCCGAGGCGGTCCACCACTCCCACTCTTGTCGATCGGCAGCGCCACGGGCCTTCTGGCAGGTGGCTTCCTCGGCAACGGCTGGAAGAAGCCCTGGAGCCCACAGAGGACGACCCGCGGGAGGCCGACCAGCTGGCCCGCGTGTTTGCTGCATTCGTTTCCCTCGACGATGCCATCCATCGCACCCTCCAGCCTCTTCCTCGTCGCCAGGTCTGCCCGCAGTCCGGGTCTGCGGGTGGATGGTCGGTGGAAGCGTGTGGCCGCCTCTCTGGTCGAACGACAGACCGCCATCGAGCTCGTTCACTTCCTCAACGAGCACACCCAGCCCCCCTTGGCCGCCAGCACAGCACAGGGCCTGCGCGTCGTGAGGAGGCGAGGCGCGTGCCTCCTCTCCAGCCTTCCAGCTGACTATCGCCGCAGGGCCATTTTCGGTCGAGAATGGAATATGCACGAGTTTTGTGGGGATGGGATGGACAAGATCATCGCAGTGCTGCTGGATAGTGATCGATGCCTGGAGGGGTGCACCATGTGCGGCAACGGCTACAAACGAACGGTACATGCACCACGACATTCACAGAATGACGACACTCACCCATTTCTCCCCTTACTTGTGTCATGTCTGTGTGTGTGCAGAATCGTCTGGTGGTGGATGAGGAGCGCTCATTGTTCCTTCGGGTCGCACCGCTTCGCGCCACGGCCGTTGTGGAGGCCACATTCGCATACAGCAGCAAGCGCTCGCCGACAACCTTGACCCGCCTCCCGCCCAGCCTGCTGCTGCTGCCGCCGCCGCCCAGCCTGCCGCTGCCGCTGAGGGGGAGGGCGACAAGAATGAGATGGATTCCGAAGACGACGATGAGCAGAAGGATGGTGATCCGCACGAGCATGAGGACCATGAGGACCCCGACGGGCAGCAGCAGATCAACCAATTCATGGAGGGGTTTGCGCTGGGCGAGGGTGATATGGGAGAGGAGGCCATTGCCCATGCCGCAGCCATCGGTGGTCGGATTGAGTGAGTTGGTTGATTGTGTTGTTTCGTGTGACAGACTGTACATATTCTGGACATGACATGAACGAGTCGCAGTGTCTATCATCATGAATGAACGAATGAATGAGTGAATGAATGATTCATGGAATGAGTCACAGTGGCTATCACACAAAAGCATGACTGAATGAATGAATGAATGAACGAATGAATGAATGAACAAATAATCACATCCGCCCATCCCTCACCCACTCTTCCGCCTGCCTCTCCCACTCTCTCATCGTCTCCACTGACACAAACTTCGTCCAGTCCTTGATCGGCACGTCTGGCAGAGGCGACCGATCCATCTCGTCATGTGGAAGCATCCGGCTCGATGGCTTCGTGCTGTATGTCAGAATGTGCCGGTGGGTCTCGTCGATCGACGCCAGCAGATGGGTCTTCAGCTGATGCTCAATCAGCTGAATCCGGCCCGCCTCCCCTCATCGTGTGTCGCTCCTCGATGGTGTGCGCCAGATGGTTGAGACCCTCATGGCCGTTCATGCTGAAGGCGAGGCCGCACGGCGGGCACTCCGGCTCACGCTTGCAGAGGGTGTAGAAGAACGGCGCGTGGCACTCCAGCTGATGAATCGACAGGCTGTGCAAATCAAGCACATTCAAGCTGTGTATGCCACACACACACACACACAGACAACTTGACACTGCCTATGGATGCCATCGATGTGCCGTGACGATGCTTTCTTACTGTCTGTAATTGATCAGCTTCATTTGCCACAGATGCAGACAGAGGTTGTCTCACTCCTCGTGCGTCGGCTCGAGCTTGGCGAGGAAGCGATGCATCTGCGTCACCCACTTCATGAAATCGCGAGCCTGCAGACTGCCCTGTATGCGCTGACAGAAGTCCTTGGGCAGCTTGTGGCCAAGAATCAGGTCGTCCTGTTCCTCCCTGGTCAGCTGCTGGTACTCCTCCTCACACACAAAGACCCGGTTAGCTGAACACACAAACAAGCAGATGGATGAATGACTTTCGTGTGTTGTCGTATTGCTGACCGGCAGCGCGTGTCCGAACCCTCGGCAAGAAGTCGATCGGAATGGACAGCTCGTCGAACAAACCTGAGAAGGTAACGTAGGAAAGCACACGATGTGTTCATGGGGCCATCTCCCTTGTGTGGAATCTGCAGACCTACCTTGCACGTCCCTGACGACCTGTGCGTCCGTGACGAGCGGTGCTCGCGCCGTGGCATATACATACCACCGGAACACATCCATCGCCTTCTCGCCATCGCCTTCTCGCCATCGGCTGATTCTGAAGCGGCAGGAACGGCTGCTGCCGCTGCGGCTGCTGCTGCTGGAGGCGGTGGTGGTGGAGGGGGCTGGGTGTCGGGTCTCTGACGCTTCAGACGTGGCTTTTGATATTGAGACCGGCGAGGCGGCGGCTGACGGGTGCGCCTCGGGGCATTGGCATTGGGACGGCCGTCCTCATGCAGTGGCCGTTCTTCCTCCTCCTCTATCTCTGGTTGTTCGTCTACGGGTCGCTTCATTGTCGGGAGGCAGAAGTGGGTGGTGGGTGGAGGAAGGGGAGAGAGAGAGAGAGAAGGGGTCCGCGAGGCGCTCAGGTGCACAGAGAGGCGCCTGCAGGCACACAGGAGACCCAGAAGAGGCAGCAGATGAGTCGATCGACCCTGTGTACATATGTGTATATGTATACATCTCCATGGATGTGTGTGAGTGGGCCTTCCTGTCAGTGTGTGAGTACCTGGGTGAGTGAGTGAGTCGTCCGTCATCGGCTGAGTGAAGCAAGGAGTCCGCATGACAGTCAAAACGGTCAGAAAACGCCGCACAGACCTGAGTCAGACACAGAGTGAGAGTTTGAGTGCGTCTGACGGTCATCTTCCCATCTGATTGAGCTCTCACCGTGTCGGGCGTGACGAGGCGACCTCGCTAAGGTACAAGGCAGGCCGCAGCGAGCCGACAGGCTGTCAGAAAGAGCCGATCTGTTCGCCGAAAGACAGAATCGGTCTGAGTCAAAGTGACGATGGTCGCGCTGGGGAGCAGATGGGTAGGCCGATGGATAGAGGGTGTCAAGGGCTACTGTGTGGTGTGGACGGCGTGCCGTGGGGAGGCTTGGCTGAGGCGCCATGACTCGCCGATAGAAGTGACATGGGTGATTCTCCGCGGGGACCGCACATGGCGGGATGTTGTGGTGTGCACGTTGTTCAGGGCAACACGCCTGACAAGTTGGTTCCCATGTTTGCTTGGCCGCAAGCTCTCTGTGAGAAGTTGGGGTGTGCCTTGAAAGGTTACCCATGGGTATCTCGCCGGCTTCGCATATCGGCACCACCATTGGTCGGTGATTTTGAATGCCCATGATTACGCCCAACACATGGGCACATCGTTAGGCAACCAACCAAAACGGACTACCGGTCCAGGACGCTGCGAAGTCCATCCACTTCACCCCCTTGTGCGTCACGGTGGATGGTGTGTCGGGCAGAGAGGCCAATGGTTTTTTCAGCCGCCTAGTTGAGAAGCTGCGCACCAAGGCTGCGTGGGCAGACAAGTCGTATGGCCAGGTGATGGCGTGGGTTCGTGCTCGTCTGTCTGTTGCGTTGGCGCGTAGTGCAAGTATGTGTGTGCGTGGTGGGCGGCGCCGCTGGAAGATACGCCAGGCGGGCGCTGAGGATGGTGCTGGCATGTTTGTCGCATGATTGAGGGTTGGTCGATGTTGATGCAGTTCATTACATGAGAGACCGCCAGACTCTGCCTGCCGTTGCGCTATGAGTTAACGTATCTCAACACGGGCCTCGGATAAGTGGGAGACGGCCCAGGGTGTCCCATATATGACACGGTCCACCCTGAGCCGGAGTGCTGCTGACCTCGATGAGTGTCTTGAGAGCCTCTTGCCGCATGCCCTCCTGGGACGCAGGCCTCCCGCCGACCACGCCCCTCTCGCCAGCCCTCCCCTCCCGCGCCCCCCCGCCGCCCTCACCATCGAAGGTGTCCTCGTCGCTCGCCTCGCTGCTCTCCTCCGAACGCACCTCCTCGTCGTCCACGTAGTCCTCATCATGGTCATCAGGTGCCGCGTCCGCCCCTGGCGACGCGACCACCCGAGACTGCTGACGCCCGACAGCCGATGACGGCGATGCCCCAGCTGGCTGCCCGCGCCGCATCGCCGCCGCCTCGTTGGCCTCCTTACCCGCGTACTCTGTGTCCAGCCGTTGGAGATGCGGACACTTGCTCTCGGGGCGATTGTTGTCGGTCACACAGACCTGAAGAAACGACAGAGGCATGGGCAGGCAGCTTCCCCACATGGGAGTGTGCGGCTGTGTGCGCCCATCCCTCCCCCCTCACGAGCTTGCAGCCTCTCTTGAGGGCGGGCCAGAGGCGCCCGAGGAAGTGCAGGGTCACAGAAAATCCACTCGGGCGATCGGTGGCGCTGTACGCACACACGATAAAGTTTGCCTATAAGGACACACAGAAAGAGATGCGGCACCGCATTCCTGTGTGGATAAAGCGGTACCTATGTGATGTGTGTGTGTATGTATATGTATATGTATACATACGTATATGTATATAGTATATATAAGTAAGTTATATATAAGGGTTTTTCCCATTTATCCGTTGTCCCATTTATCCGAGGCAATTCACACGCCGTCTGCTTGTCCGTCTGAGTCATCAGCGCATCCCAGCAGGCCACCTGACTCGCCTGGCGCCGAGCTTGGCCCGGAAAAGAAAAAAAGCAACCCGGCCGGTGGCGAGGATGAGGAGAGCGAGCAAAGCAAGACCTTGAGCGTTGCTCGGGCGAGACAGACAAGCAGGAGTGATTCACTGGTGATTGAGTGGCGATTGAGTGATGGAATGCGACGAGCAATCGATAGATTGAGTGATGGAATGTCCAAAAACACACATGAATCATGCAGAGACAGTCATTCACCACACCAACACAGTCTCTAAGTTCGCCTTCTCACCACTATCCTCCTCTGCCATAGCTTGCTCGGCATTCATCTCTCGCTCCACCTCACTCACGAATTGTCGCGGTGACATACCGCCGCCTATGCATATATGTCATCATGGTTGGTCCCATTGTATCCACGCTCTATTGTGTTGGCGATTGGTGCGATGTTGGCCATGGCTCAGTTCAGTGGGCCAAGCTATCAGCTACCGGTTACACGGAGCTCATAGCTCGCAGTCTGCACATGACCATGCCTGACGACGTACCATCGCCCTGGGTGCCATGCACTATGCTACAGGTACGTATACACACCACATGTATACTCCTACACGGACACTCATCGCTCTCCTACGTTGGCATGGCTGCAGAGTGCCTGTGGTATTCGTCAGTGATGGCATGCATTGGACTGCCTCTGTTCAGTCGTCATGCTGCTCATATCGGTACGGAACTCTATCCCACCTACTCACTGACCATGATCTTACCCACTACTGGCTTGTGTGTCCTCTCATGGCGCGTGCAGGTTGTGATGTGGTGCGTATCGGTCATGGGTGACATCGGGACATCAGAGACACACTGACTACGTCTAGCTGGTACGCACCTACTCATGTGATGCGTCCCATCCAGCCTCTCACTTACTGTGTGCCTCTGGTGGTTCAGGTCCATGTGTATCGTGTTGTTGGTTTGGTCTGGGGTACCGTCAGTGTGGAGCACCACCCAACACATGCGGTATGTCATTCACACACACACTGTATGACATGCCTACCACCACTCACCTCTATCCTTTTGCGTGGGCGTATTGTGGTGGTGCAGGGTGGTTTGGTTTTCTCACTAGCGGCGTGTGGGACACAGACAGGGCATCCACACACGCCTTCACCGGTACGTCACTCACACACCACCCCCCTACCCATTCACCTAACCTACCCATCCTCGCTCACCTCTGTTGTGTGTGGTTGGTGTGGTTTGTTTGTGTGTGTGGTGTGGTGGTGCAGTTACTCGTGTATGACTCTCGTGGGACTCGTGTATCGACCGTTATCTACTACATATTGCCGTTGACCGTTGAGCTGAGACCGACTGACGTCCCTCATCACACAGTCACATACGGCTACGACATCGACGGATTCACATTCCACATGGGCGCAGCAACAGCGACCCCTGACCAGTGAGGCTGACGACGCCAATGAGCTCCAACGGCAGAGACCCGTTCGCTGACCTAGGAGACCTCATCGACCTCAACTCACCCACCCCACCTACCCCTGCACCAGCTGCAACAGCGGACGACCGAGGGGCTGATCAGCCTCCGGACTCGTCCCGCTCCCACCCACCCGAGACAGTCTCACTCGTCGGCGGACGACTGAGGGTCTCTCGCATCGCACCCGCACCAGGGGTTCAACAAGTCCCCCCAACATCAGTGACGACCCAAGAGGTGCGGCAAGGACGGAATGCGGTGCAGGGCTATCGGTATGGTGCGTCGACGTCGCCACAGCCTCCCGTGGCGTCAGGGCGATCCTCGAGGCTCAATGGAGAGCCGAACGAAGGGCCAGGAGAAGCGATAGTGAGGGCGTTAGCAGCGGCGCTTGCCACCGAGCAGTGGTCGTCTGAGCAGCTGGAGGACCTTCGGGCCAACGTTGCCGGCGTCCTGCAGGTGGCCGACCCCAGCGACCCCGCCAACTACACTCTGACCCGAGAAGAGATACAACAGCGCGTCCTACGGAGCATGGCGGGCGGCGAACAACGAAGAGGCACCGGCGGCCTCAGTTCGTCAGTCAACACGAGCGGTGCGCCGGAAGGCGTTACCAATGCCCCACCACCACCCCCACCACCCCAACCAACCCAACCATCCCCCATCCCGTCACCCGGACCCTCACCCACAGAGCAGATGTCCACAGGAGCAGCACCAGGTGCAGCAGCAGCATCAGCCCCAGGCCCATCCCAGACAGCCCTTCAGCCAGCCTTCATACCCATCCACCCCGCCACAGCGACGGCGGAGGCAGAGATGGTACGACGGGCGAGGGCGGATGTGGCAGCGAGAGTGGGGGCGCCGTCGGATACCTATCTGGCTCACATCGACTGGCAAGTGTCCTACCATGAAGAGAGGCAACGAGCCATCGAGGAGCATATTCGAGGCGCCACAGACCGAACACTGCTGGGGCAGCTGCTAGAGCAACAGCACCGGATCTGCATGGACGTCCAGACATGGCGGCAGCGACAGTATGAGCGGGTCGACACCCTCAACACCGCCATCGAAAAGGGGCGGCAGGGGGCGGACCTGCCCATGAGGGGGCAGGGGGAGCATCTCGCGGCCACCCACTCGGCTGTGACGGCGCCACTGTGCACAGGCGCCTAGCAGCATCTGGCCGTCCAGCCCCCACCCCCGCCACCACCTCAGACGGGCCGTGAGACGGTACCACAGTGGCAGACGGCAGCACCAGCGAGCAGCCGACCGGCCACGAATGCACAGCCTCAGAGTGGGAACGAGGCCGGTTCGACAGTCCACCCACCAGCAGCGGTGGGGGCCCAGGACGGCCAGAGGCAGGGTGCACACGGCACTGTTGAGGTGGGGGAGTCGGCGACTGTGGAGTCGAGTGTGCAAGACGGCCGTCGGGCCCGCACATCGTCGACACACGCGGACCCACAGAGCCAAGGGCGTGGCTCTGGGGCGGCAGAGGGAGTCCACCGAGTAGAGTTGTTGAAGCTGATAGCCATCGCAGCCGCCCATCGTCGAGCCACTCACACGGCATGCATTTCGCGTGTGCCATTTCTGCTTACAGGGATTGATGGCCCTTGCGGTGCTGCAGAGTGTGGCTGGGGAGGCGGGCTGGGCGGCCTCTTGGTCGGTGAGTAATCAGCGAAAAGGTACCTGTGACATTAATGGACAAAAATGGTCATATCAGAGGAGGGATTGGTTGTGTGGTGGTGGTGTGTCTACCATGTGGTGGCGCACTCAGTGATGGACAAGGACAGGCAGAAGAGCTGGCGCAGGGAGGCCGGGAACACGACAAAAACAAGGCGAAGTGATTGCCTGCACACAAAAAGACGGAAAAATCGCATTGATGGTGATGTGCCCGTTTGCCCTGTGTTGGCCCTCACCTTATCGAGTGTGCGTCAGTGGTCAGCCTGGTGCGGGTGGTGCCTGCAGGCGAGGCCAGGGTCGCTCAATCTCGGGGAGTGAGTCTTTGGAAGATAGTGAGTGTCCGATGGAGGGCGTCACGGGCCGAGTGGGGCGGTGGGTTGATAGACGAATGGTAGCTCTCATCAATGCGGTTCACATGCCTGCAGTAGCGTGGCGCCAGGCCCCAAGGCTGGGGAGAACTGGCTCCCACCCAAGATGCGAAGTGCCCGTAGATCTGGCTCCTGGTCACGGACGGGGCTGAAAGTGGGCTTAAATTGGCGAGGGCGATGGCGCTGACACGCTGGTGTGGACGTGGTTCTTGTCCGATGCTTATCTGGCGAGGCGGGTTTCGCCCTTGCATCGAATCGCGATTTTCTCGACAGGTGATGGAGACTGGGGGCCGCACGCATATTGTGTGGGGGCGGGCATCGATGCGTCCTGATGCACCCATCGTTACCTATCACTCCCGTCGACCCCCAAATTTCGTTAGGGCGCGCGCCCTTGCGATGCCAGTTTTCCAATGAATGTGCCAATTTTCCATTGCAGATCACCAGTTCGGGCCCCTGGCTCAGTTTTCCGCATGGGGCCCCGCACAGAAACACAGTTTCCCACCCCCCTGGGTCAGTTTTCTGGCAATGTACCGCTTGGAGTGTGACACAGATGGGGGGTACTGTGGGCCTCGGATAAATGGGACCAGTGTTCGACGTAAGGAATTTTCTTCAAACCTCTGTCAAACCCGCCGGCTGCAAGTGAGGTTGGACACGTCAAACCTCGTGTGGACGCAAAATGAGCTGGTGAAACCACGACCTGAGGGAGACACACTACAAGGAGAAGAGAAGAGAGGAAAATGACACGCCATGCTCCAGAATTGGAATGTTTGTGCCACGCAAACACACATACAGACACTGGCAGGCACACACAGACAGGAAACACACAGGAAAACCTACCAAAAGGAGAGATAATCAAGGCCAAATCGTCAAACCGTCAAACCTTCTTCCCCGGAGCTGCTAGGTTTGAAAGTTTGACGGTCCAACCTCACTCCAACCCGCAGAGGTTTGACGAATGCCGCCGTCCAACCTTCGTCAAACCGTCAAACCTCTTGGAAAAAACACTGAATGGGACACGCCCAGGGTGTCCCATATTACTGGGGGTGTCCCATATTATAGCGTTTTTCCCATATATCCGTTGTCCCATTTATTCGGGGCAATTCACACGCCTTCTGCTTGCCCGTCCGAGTCACCAGGGCATCCCGGCAGGTCACCTGACTCGCCTGGCATCGAGCTTGGCCCGGAAAAAAGAAAAAAAAGCAACCCGGCCGGCGGCGAGGATGAGGAGAGCGAGCAAAGCAAGTGCTTGAGCGTTGCTTGGGCGAGACAGACAAGCAGTAGTGATTCACTGGCGAATGAATGATGGAATGCGACGAGCAATCGACAGATTGAGTGATGGAATGTCCAAAAACACAGATGAATCATGCAGAGACAATCACTCACCCACCAACACAGTCTCTAAGTTCGCCTTCTCACCACTATCCTGCTCTGCCATTTTTTTTTTCGGGAAGAGATAATTGACAGATGGCATCCATGCACTCGCTTGTTCAAATCGCCTCCATGAATCTATCCACATATGCCTATGCACAAAGGGCACGCTCACTCATCCGATGAGAACACCCCAGCCCCGTCCATCGCCCCAACACCACGCCATGACTGCCTCCCGCCCCTCAAAC